CGAAGAAATATATATATATATATATATATATATATATTTAGAGGGGCTGCAAAGAACGGGCGTTAAAGCAGTGGGTGTTGTGGGTTTGGCTGGTGTTACAATGGCATTGCTCTTATGTTTATTTGTGTAAGTGGGCTCTACGCAAATACGTGGGCTTCCCATAACACAGGGAAATGGGATACACGCATACACACGCAATGATTGTGTGTGTGTGTCAAGGACAAAAAAAAATGAATGGCGCGTGGTAGAACACATGACTAAGTACTGAACTGGAAAACAACCAGTGTGAAAAGGTGTCCCTTATAAATTATATGTGCATTTGTCTGGGCAGAAGCACCGCCTATGGCATATCTATGTATGTGTCACATGTGCATCTGCATTGCAATGTTCTGCATACAGCCACGGTAAAAGACACGGAACAATGAAAAGAAATAATAATAATAATAATTACTTTACCCTGTCCCAAACCTCACCCGTACTCGCAGCGCAATCGTAACGATCAACTCCTCGAATATTAGTTCCATTGCAGTCGTTATTGTATTCTTTCTTCGCTTTCTTCCTCTCTCTCCCCCCTCTCCCCTCCCGTTTTACGTTTCTTTATATGACGGTGTTTCTTCTTCCTTTTTTTCCTTTAATTCTCTCCCAGTTTGTCTACTTGACTTACTGCTTGTTTTGTTGTTGCTTTTCTTCTTTATTCTGGGCCACTTCTGTGGGTGTGGTGGCGGTGCTGGTGCTGGTGGTGTGTGAATGCACGCAGCGTCTGTGCCATTCTTGGGTCGTGACAGGGTATGCGTGAGAAGGTAGTTACAGTTCTGGCGTGTGTGCGGCCATCTTATCAGGGCACCTTTTCATTTACTTTTTATCTCCCCCTTCCCCCTTTTTTTTGTTTTGTTTTTGTTTTTGTTTTTGTTTACTTCTGGTTGTATCCCAGTAGTGTTCTTTTCACGTTATTATTTGGACTTTCACTTTGGTTTGTGCCGTTTACCGTCACGCCACCACTTTTCTTTCCGTGGGTTTTGCGTGTGTGTGTGTGTGCGTGTGTGCGTGTAGGGGGCGTGGTGGGCCGCGGCACACGTGCGTTCTCGCGCAGACGGAAGGAGAGGTGGTGAATCACGTGATGCGGAGGCATAAATAATGAAACTCGCACACACGCAGAGGTTGAGTACGCGTGTGCATGTGTGTCAAATGAAGTGCTTGGAGGGCGCGTGGTCCAGAAACAGGGGAAAAGGAGACGAAAAAAAAAGAACAGGGATTTCCTTTGAGGAAACAAACTTCTTGGCGCGTCATGTCTCCATTTCTCCCTACTACCTTTTTTACTTCTCATACTCCAATGGGAATTCGTCTACGGTCTCTCTCCCTCTCTATATCTCTTCTCTTCTCTTCGCCTGCTCCCGCCGCCTGCCGTCTTGGAAAAAAGATTCCCTCCCAGTGGGGTGGAGGCGCTCTGCAAATCGAGCCATTCCTTGCCTGCATAAATACACTACACATATAGTATATAGTCTACCACATCACTGTCACTGGGGGAGGTGGCGGTGTCAGGGTCGATGATGACGCCAGACACGGCCAACGTCGGGTGTGTCGCGTCGTCCCCGGTGAGCAGCTACCCGACGTACACTCCGCCGCCGCCGCTGCCCGCACGAAATTCCGTGAGGAACACCCCTTCCACTGCAATGCAACGAACGTTTCACACTGAGTGTGACGAAGTGCTCCGATTAATTCGTGAAGACGGGCTGACGCGATCTGCGTCGGAAAAATCAAGCGGCGCCATGTGTGTGCCACGCAGCTCAACGCATGAAAAGTACAGGGCGATCCTCGATGAGGTGGAGCACCTCAACAAACTACTGGAGGTAACCGTCGAGGAACGGGATGACGTGGAGGGAGAGCTGCAGGGCAAGCTGACGCAGATGGAAATGGCGCTTCGTGAGAGCGACAGGGAGCTACAGGAGAAGGACGAGGAACTTATGCACCTGCGCGGTGTCGTGGAGTCTCTGAGGACGCAACTGGAGAAACTCACCACTGAAGTGGTGAGGCGCGGCAGCTGCAGCTATGGCAATGGCAGTGACACTGTCGCTGCGCGCGAAGCGGGCGGAGGTCCAAGCACGGTTGTTGCAGATGTCGCACCAGGGGAAAGGCCTGCAACCGCGCTGGATCGCCTTGCACAGAGCTCCTTGAGGTGGGTCGAGTTTCTGTTAAAGCGGTGCTTTTCCGTGGACGACAGGGCTGATGGGAAGTTAACGCATCTGCTGGGCCTGCTGAATGAATTGGGGGAGTGTGGCAGCGAACCCGGCCTGGACGCCCCCACGGTGCGGTCACTGTGCACCCAAGTCTCAAACTGTCTGATAGAGGTTGCTGAGAAAGGTGCCCTTGGGCGGCGCCACTTAGACTCCGACGCGTTGGACCTGCCAACTGCGACGGAGGGTCGCGTTTCAGGTGAGCAGGAAAATCTTCTCCGGCGACAGGTTGCGGGGCTGGAGGCAGAGCGGGATGCCCTCCGGCAGGAGGCAAGCATCATCGCCGAGGAGAATGTTCAGCTGCTGCGTGAATTGAAGTCACGAGAGCTCCCTTCACCGGGGGCGTCATCGCCTTCAGCCCGCGTGGATGGCTTGAAGGTTCAGAACGCCACGTTGGTGGCGGAGCGAAAGCGGCAGGCCGCCCTCATCCAAGAGCTTCGGCTGCAAGTCGAGAAACTGGAGGAGGAAAAGAAGGAACTGCAGACCAAATTTGTCCATCAGGCGGAGTCACTTAGACGGCATGAACGTGTTTTGCACTTTATTTCGCGGCACGAGCGGGGGGACAAAGGCGACAACGGTGGCAGCAATATACTACACACAACTTTGGCACAATGAGCCACGACCATCCCCGAGGTCTGCCTCCGCCTTCTTATCCGCCTCATTTGCCCCTCCCTGTAGTCTCTCATCACATACGTGTTTCTTTGCGTTTGCGGAACTACATGGATTCTTCCGAAATGTTATTTTCTTCCTTCTCGGCAATTACATTATGCTCCCTCCTCTCTCTCTCTCCCCCCTTCCTCCCTTCCGCCTTGCCTCTCGTTATCCCTTGCTGTGGGTGGTGCTCTGTTTTTCTTTTTTTTCTTTTTTCTGCGGTGTGTGTAAGTATCTACTACATCCTTTGAATTGCGTGTTTTGCGCGCTTGCTTCTAGTGAACCGGTGAGCGGGTCCCGTGGTGTGTACGTCTACAAAGAGTACCGTCCACGCACCGTTACTGCGTGTAAGAAGAGGAAAGAGCCATGTTTAGCCGGTCTGCGCTCTGCCTGACAAAGCGGTTTCGCTATAACACAAAGTATCCAGCTTTGGTGTCGTACAACAAACTTCCGTGGGAAATACTGAACCATGAAACTCCAGAGTTTCACATGCACGTGGCACCACACTATGAGCAGATCCTGACGCTCGCTGCGGCTACAGTTGTGCCGCATCTTGTTAGTAAAAAACACCTGGAGGTTCAGCCAGAGCATCGGCTGCGGCTGCTTCCTGGGATGCTGTACATGCTGGACGGCGATGGAACTCCCGAAGGTTTTACCGCCAACCGCGTTGTGGACCCGGTGGCTCTGCAGTACTACGGCCGCCTGGAAAGTTTATTTGCACCTTTGAAGGCGGTACGGATATTGATATCGGACGATCTTCGGCTTATTTGCAACACTGTCACATTTCAGGGACCTTTTCGACAGCCAGTTGCGCCGTATGCGTCGTTGGCCTCGTTAGAGGCTGTCACGCATAATTCGGGTAATTCCTTCACATTATTTCACTTTGTTAGACCAAACCGGCCACCGAGCGAGCTGCAGCTGGAAAAGTATTACCTCCACGCTCCTCGTGTCTTGTCCTTGGCGGGGTTTGCGTCCACGAGCAACAGAAACTGGGAACCAAAATTGCAGGCGCCGAAGCGCAGCAAGCGGGTGACGCCACTCCCTGCCTATAGACCGCCCCAAAGTTATTTGATGGGTCTAGCAGAACGACTTGCTGTGGTGCCCGGTAGTAGTTTTGGCCGTCGCTCGTTGATGTGGGGGCACTGGTTTTAGCTATGAGGAGGGAGAGCGGAGGTGTGCATACACACTCCCTCTCGGTACAAATAATCTGGAAAGCTCAATGCATATATATATATATATGCATTTCTGGGAGAGAGCGTTTAGCAGCAAAATACATGGGTGCCCGCCCAACCCTAATGCACATATGTAACATTTTTCTATCTTTCTTTTTCTTTTCTCTTCGTTCCTTTTTTTTGTGGGTGGGTAGGGGGTTATTCTGCGTATCAGTGGGTACGTTGTTGGCGTCGAGGAGGGACCATTCTTCACACACACATACACACACACATATATATATATACTTTGACACTGCATAGAAGGCAACGAATAGTTGGTGGTTGGGCTTTTGCCAGTCTGCATTGCTTTTAGAGTGACACCGAGAGAAGCCGAGGTTGGGGGTTGAGCTCCGTCCACACTCAAAAGGGAAACATTTATTTGCCTCCTCACTTATTTCTGCGTTGGGGCGATGCAGCGCCACCACAGGAATAACACCCTTAATGATCCCTATACAAGGCAAGGCAATTTTTTTACAACGGGAACAAATTCAATTTCTGTAGGGCTTAGTCCACCGCAAAGGTCCAGTGCGACGGGAGATGTGTTCCATCTGCAGCGTTGTGAGCGGTGTGGCGAAAGTTTTCGCGTTAAAGCAAGTACAGTGAAGTGCAAGTATACATGTTGGAGGTGTGGGTGCCCTGTGTGTAGACAGTGTCGCGTGCCGCAGCCAGACGCGGCCGACGTGTGGGCATGCACCTCATGCGTGCGGCCTCTAAGTTTCATTTGGCTCTTCCAGAAGACGCACCACGGCGTCCAGCTGCTGCTAAGTGTCATGGAGTTCTGCGATCCGCAGACGGCGCGCATCATGCGGTTTTTTTTTCCCGCCGCGGCCTTTGAGCGCATGACACCGTACAAGGCCCCGTTGAAGCTGCCCGTGAGGCAGCAGGAGACACCACAGCGAAGGCAGGTGCCCGTCAAGGCGTCTGATGCAAAGGTGGTCACGGCGGGCTCGGCGGGGACGCCGCGCCGCAGGTTAGTGGGGCCTTCCCCGCCTCATCCCCGATCACCGCGGCGGCGGCAGCAGCAGCAGCCGGTACATAAGATGACGCGAGCAAAGACAGCCTTCAGGCGCTATTCGCCCTCACCACAGCAGCAGCAACAAAAACAGGGCAGAAAAGGTGCACAGACGCCTATTGCCATGCGTCACTGCTTTCCACCCAAACGGTTTCCCTCGCCGGAGTACAAGTTGAAAAATAGCAACGCAAGCGGCGTTCCCTTTGCGAGGTTAGAAGCAGCAGTGAAAACGCCAGCAACAGTGCACTGCGACCCACAGGACCTCACAACTGCGCCCGACAAACGGGATGACGAAGAAGACAATGCAAATAAATTTTCGCGCATTGACGCCACGAAGCAAGATGGAAGCGTCCGAGCCAACCTCCCGCGTGTCAGCGATACACAGGTGTCGTCGATGCCCAGCGTTTCTGGGTCGCGGTCGGACAGCCCACCACCGCGGTTCCCACCTTTTTCCCAATTTCTAGACGAGCAGGAGGCGGCACTCTTGCTGCACGATGAGCGCTGCCCACAGCCACAGCAAGAACAATACGTTGCAGACCGGCATGCCGGAATGCGGGCGGACAACACGCCCAACCTCGCCGCGGCGAGGGAGAAGGAGCTGGAGCTGGAGGTGGTGGAGTTAGGTTCCCGTCCAGCGGCGCGTCTCTCTACCTGGACTGCCTCACCAAATCCTGTTACACCGCGTCCCACAAAGAACGGCGGAGCCACAGTTTCTGGCGATTCCAACGGTAGGCGGAGGCGCATCTTTAACCCGCCGCCGCAGCTGCGCGTCACACCGATGAAGACGTCACTCTCCATTTCACAAAGAGGGGCCGTAGGACACAACAGAGGATTCACTACCTCCACTGCGACGGCAGCAGCGACGAAGACGAATGCAACGGCAACAGTGAGGAGTCATCTTCTGACGGCTGCCAACCAAATCAATCATTCTTCGCATCCTGCCGAACCCCATTCCCGGACGAAAGCCACCCACTTTGGCGCTAACGGCAAAAATGTTCGCTCTATGAACACGTTTATTCAACTGCATACCTCGCGAGGGTTGACGACGCGATCGAGCATTCCCACACGAGTCACTACTCCACGTCCGTTTGCATCCGTGTCGTCGGCCTCGGGAGTAGGGGTACTGGCGACTGATAGGAATGAAATTGGTCCCTCTCTCGCTGGGCGTGGCACAACAAGTTGTCAGAGGACGCGAGCGACTCGCAACCCCACCAAGGAGTATTGTTTATCAGAGCGGAATGATTCGCGTCTCGCGAGTCCGCGGTTCGCACGCAAACCAACATCACGTACCCCATTGGCAGAGAGGGGTGTCCCTCCCACCTCTCGTGCGCCCCTGGTCCCCCGAGGAGGAACACGATTGCTGCCAACTTCGCCGATGACGGCTCGGCCGATGACGGCTC